ACGCTGTCTTTGCCGTCTTTATCACCGGAATCGCTCTTCTCTTTGGCGAAAGTGGCCGACAGTGCCACCAATGCCACCAAACAGGGGATCCATATGTGTCCACAAGACATCATATCTGGAGATCAAGTCAAACCAAATGTGTTAACAACCGGCGAAACCAGTCATGCATTCAATGCTTTAAATCTAGACTTAAGACACGACTTGTGGACACATTTTGGCCACAAATCGCGATCTCGTGTCTCAGACAAGTGTCCAATGAATGCAGACATACCTTTGGATAATAGGATTAAAACTTGAAATTATAATAAATAACTGAATTAAAGATGAATTTCTCGAAAATCGGTGTAAAAGTGAAGACTTGTGTTAAGACACGTAACAAACTCATGAAATGTTGTCTCTGTATTAGATTTAATAGAAAACTATTCACTCTTTTCAGCATTTATTCATTTATACGAGTAGTCGGTATTCGTGTCTCTATTTCATTGGCTCTCATTCACTGCACACATAATGTGTCGCAAACCCATTGGTCGTTGCCTTGGACTCCACCCTAACGCCGGTGTCGTCACCCGTGTTATGAATCGTAACACTATTTGAAAGTTATATTCAATTGAATGAAACTTTTAATTCATTACAAATATACGTGTGTTTTATAACTATTAATACACGGTATAAGCATTTCATTTGTTACTATTATCGCACATTTCACACAAGCAATTGAACTCCTTTTATAAAAATTAGCACATAATGCAATGGTAAATGTTACCCTGGATCATCCAGGCTAGATGCAATATGCCTAGAACATTACATATATCATACTTATTTGACAGCAGGGTAATTGTCTAATAATGAAGTTAATTACCTTGTATTAATATCATCAAATTGGTTATAGATTTATATAAACAATTAATTCATAATGATTTTTTATAAATGCAAATATCAAACAGAGACTCATAATAATGCAAACTCTTATTTGTAAAAATTCTATTAATTCTACAATATTTAAAATTTCTCATAAAGCATCTCATATTTATAAACATTAGTACAGTAGTACATTAATTTGTTTTAAAAGAATTGTCATTATTAATTATTACAATCATAAAATGTATTTTCCTTTAATCTAAGAATGTTTGGGAGAAGTTAAGCGATGAAAAGCACAAAACAAACATTTAGTACAATAGAAAAGTTAAAAAGTTATGGTTGGCTAAGGTTTGTGTTGAAGAAAGACAACACAAAACTACATGAACTTGTAATTTGACATGAGACTGCTTTTGACTAAAGGTCATTTTTTATCAATCAATCATATCTACTATTTTGCATTTAATACACACAAAATACATTCAAATGCCATATTATTAAATTGCTTAAATATTTATAATTTATCAATTATTTAAAATTTTTAATCAACACTTTATAAAATCCTAATAATTTCAATGGGAATATTATACAAAGTTACTGTATACAGGGAATAAAAATTTATGTTACATTATAAATTGTTATTTGTATTGTACTATACTATGATACAGTATTACAGTGTATTGTTCTGTAGTAACTTGAACATATAAGATATGAGTTCAATATAAATCGATTTTTATTTTCTTAGGCATTGAGTTATTTACTTTAAAAATCCTATGTTTTGTGTAAGTCTTGGAATCGATTTCGTAACATGTGATCCGTTTAAACACAAGTCTGTCTCATATATTATTTCAAAACTGGTTTTTATTTTCTTGTATAAGAACTTCAATTTTGAATTCGAGACAATTTTTTGTAGGAATTACATCAAATGTAAGTTGCTTTGCTATCAGGGATATACACATCAGACAGACCTAGTGGTTGGTGTCAAATAGGGAGTGACTGTCTTATGCTATACAAAAGTATAGTAAAAATTCTATTGTTTAATAATTTATTTAATGCTAATGTTACAATTTTCTATTAACACCAGGATATTAATAAGACTGAATTAAATTATTGCATTATTAAAACTTGTATAAATATTCAAATATAAGTTAGATTACTATTCCTCATTGCCCCTGGTCCTT